GAGTCTTTACCAGCTCAGGGAATGGCCCCGTACGGATTGCCATTGTCCGAAACAGGCCACTGCCAGTCACTCCACTCCCATGATGAAGCCCCAAAGGGAGCACATCTGCATCTATGTAGAGCTAGGGACTATAGCGGCAGCTACCAGCTACAGGTCGCAGAAATCCCCCTCCACCGCCTGCAGGAAAAGCACGACAAGGGGGAGCACCCGGCACACCCAAGAATGAGAGATTGATTTACACCAAAGTACGTTAGCGACACACGTTCTTGTCGAAACTGGAACCGGTCCGAAACTCAAGTGGTCAATCCGCATGTCATCACTCATATTCACTCATTACATCGGGTTTCTTCCCCAAACACCCCCAGATCTGCCACGGCACACACTCGGTGAGCCCGCCGCCAGGCACCGGCGCCCCGACGCTCGCGCCAGCGGCCCGGCAGCACGCGGCGCCACCCGCTGCAGCGCGCGGCGCCACATGGCACCGGTGACCGGTGTGGTGGGAGGAATTCGATGAGGTCGGTGGCTTCAGTCGGTCTTGGGGTGGGTTTGTGGGATGTGGGATGTGAGGGATGTGTGTTTTCCCCATCTCTGGGAAAAAAACGCCCAAAGGGTGCCTGGAAGGAGTCCGCAGATCTGCATGCGTGTGCGTGTTGTTATCTGCTTGCATTCTGTTGCAATGCGTGAACTGACTGAAAGAAAGAAGACGTGCTAGAAACGGTTGGAACACCAACTTCTCAGTTCGTTGAAGCGGCGTCCTTCATTCTAAAACCGTGTACTGTACGTAGGAAAAAAAAACGAAACAACCTCCGCAGGAAACGTGTGCGTGCGGCTCTTTCAACACGTGCTTTGTTGCCTCGAACCACAGCAGCTTCGCCCAAGATCCACGAGGCTCCAGGTCGCGCTGCCAAGTGGATGATGTGGCAGGAAGCATGTTGCCAGGTGCTTGCCAAAAGATGTTATTGTTTCAAAACATGTGGTTGCCATGTGGTTGCCACATGGCAATGTAATTGTTGAAAAAGAATGCAAGTGTTTTTGCACTATCGGTTGTTGCACTTGGTGGTTGTTGCAGGTGTTTCGGAAAAAAAGAATGCTTGTTCCCAAGACTTGCAAGAACACTGCTTTTGTCACACCAGAGCACGTCTTTGGTCGTCTTTGGTCTCCCTAAAGATTCATCTGTCTAAAAGAAACCTTTGAGATGGACAATGTGGTTCGCCCTTATTTCCCCAGTCGCACAAATTCAAAGGATCAGTTGAGCCTCGATCAATTATGTAGTCTCTTGACTAATTAATAATACCCCCAGACATGGCTTGAAACAGCTTCTTCATATTGAATGCCTGAACCCCAAGCAACCGAAACAAATGGTTGTTCCATATGGCAATTGAAATCCTTTACCATAGGGAAATGGCTAGAAATCATTGGGAGTTCCATCCATGTCTTTCTGGTTAAGACCGGGGTTTTCCAGGTGGTTGTATGATGCTTGATTGAAACCCAGGTGGTCTACCTTTAATGAGTTCCACTTCGGTTCATTGGGTTCCAACCCCCCGCCCCCCCGGTCCACCGCGGCAAACCGCGGACCGTCTCTGATCCGGTGTTCGGGTTCTTCAGGACGCCGACCCGAATCAGCCCGGATCCACGGGGGTCGAGCCAAACGGATGGTGTTCTTGTTTGTCTTGTTTCAAAAACAGCTGGACAAAAAGGGACAAAAACAGCTATAGGGACAAAAACAGCCTACAGCTATAGGGGTCGAGCCAAACGTTTGGTGAAGAAAAGGGACCAAGGAAACGACCGTGTTGACGTTAGCGGTTCTTGACATCGGTTCACAATGCTGTTCCTGAAGAAGATGATGTGAACAAGCCATCGGTTCCGATGGCGGTTCCTCGGATCCGAGGAGGTCTTCGAAGTGCCAATCGCGAGGGAGTGCACCGGTGCAGGTGGTCAGTGCTCCACCATTGTGGGTGACCGATTCGATCGAGGGGAGCGAGACAGGCACCGAAAAAAGGAGATGAGAGATGAGATAGAAACAAGTGCAGTCTCTCCAAATTCACCCAGACTTTTGCGGACCCCCAGTTGACCACGGAAAACCCCTCCTCACCTTTCTTCTCCAACTCCTCCTCCCACACACCCAGTGAATGCCCTCAGGGCGCCCGGCGTCGCACGCGCAAGGCCCCTGTGGCCGGGGATGGGTGCCCTAAAGAGTCACGGTGCGTCCGGCGTGGCGGAGAAGGTCAAAGTCTTCAAAGTTAGTCTTGGAAGCGTCCATCCTATCTTGGAACTTGGAACCTTCTTCTATATACACCCCTAGCCATAGTCTTCAAAGTCTTCAAAAGAGTCAGAGGTTAGGGGTGCTATCCATGGAGGAAGGAGTACAGGTGCCCCTGTCACATCCACTGATGGATCCACTGCTACCGTACCTCAGGTTAGGTAAGACTGGACCCGACGTCTGGCGACGACATAGATAGTCTCCAAACTCACCGGTCCCTCTCAGGTTTCGGTGGCAGTTGATCCATAGGGAAAGAAGCTCTTGGAGCCACAAGTTTGGGGTGGTGTGTTTCGTCCCATCCAGGGCTCGTGAGTTTCAGAGGCGCACCCCGACGGCACCCTCCCTTCGTTCGGAACAGGCACCCCAACATGTGACTCACTGGAAGGGACAACTACCAGGAGCATCCTGTCTGGGTGTCCTGGCACTACCCAAGTATAGGGACTTAGGGATCTAGACAGGATGCTCCTGGTAAAGATCAAAGAGTCCTACCTGGATACAGTAGATCAAGGGGTCCGCAATCCAAAAGCGCTGACGCCGCTCGATCAGAATCCTGAAACTTCCGGAGGAACACATCTCCCAAGCACAGCTGCAGAGTCGTCTATGTGGATGTGTATTTTAATAGGGCCCGAACCAATGGGTGTTGATCTATTTCTCTTCCAAAAGGTCTTTGGGAGGTCTCCCTATTTTAATACACATCCATAGGGATGTGTATATAACACTCGGTTTGATTTCTAGTGGATTGAGAGTATCTTATGGCACAATCCCCGGACGAGGTGGTTCCCAAAAAGGACCCCCCCATCTTGTCAGGCCTTCTGTCGGAGGCAGAAAGGCCCTTCATCTACTCTTAAACCCATCCTGTTTGGTTTCGAGTTTCAAGACACTGTATCTTTCATGCTTCGGTGTCTATATCCTGACCTCCCCACCGTCGGCCGTGTAACAGATGAAGCTTCATCTGCCGTGTTCCCACGCGGCCGGGAAGGACGGATGAACGAAGACCAAGACGCTGACCCCGGTGGTGTTCACTCCACTCCACTCCAAACCAGGCCGATGATGTGATTTCAGGGTCCGTGTCTATGCTATGTCACTCAGAAGGGTCCTTGCCATTCAATCAGTCTTTGTATATGTTCAGTCCAACTGTTCCCCCACCACCGGACAAATGACGCCCACCTCAGCTGCATGGCGCACGGACCGAGGGGCCATGGAACGACAGGTAGAGACGTGCAGAGTCGCTTAGAAAACCGGTTTTGCTCTTGCCGGTTCGTGGTCCTTCTTCTCCAGAATGCTACATGGTAAGTCTCCAAGTCTTTTGATATATTACATGTTGTCCACAAACAAGACAAGAACACTCCAGGGTGGTCATGTGATACAATCATCCAAGACAGAAAAGCGCACCAGAAAAATCCAAAGAGTAAGACACTGTTCTTGGCCTTCGTTGTCAGGGACACTGTTCTGAACCCCGGGTGGTAGGTGGCTGTCACTTGGAAACCGAAAATTGGGTCCAGGTCGATGTACCTCATGAAACCCATCGTCCAGGATCGTGACCGAGAACGACCTTTCGACCCTTCGTCCAGCGCATTGCGAGAAGTGCCAAATGGTTCATCCTTGGCCGAAAGCACCGGCAAGCCAAAACACTGCGGCCCCCCAGCGGTCCCGTGGAAGCATCTACCCCGGTCCCAGCGCCAAGTTCTCAGCAACGTGATTGAAGTGGTAGCTATAGTTCTTCAGTTCGTAACCCAGAATGAGATCCCAGGTGGTTGAGGTCACTTCAGTAGCCTGTCAATAAAAGGGCACTGGGAGGGACACCCAATTTCTCTCACGAACTGAAAGAAGCTGGTCATTGGTACCTTAATGCCCCCTTTTTTGGGGGGGGTGAGTTCACTCCCCTTACAGGTTATATACTCTCTAAGTGGCCATTTTGAGACACCGGCCCCCCCCCCCCGGGGGTGTCTTGGTACCTTGACTCTGGGAGACGGGAAACATGGGGCGTCGAAACACCTGCGTGTCTGGTGACGGCAGAGATCGTAGACTCCAGTTTTTTGGACAGCACCTACCGTGGAAGTGTCCCATATCATATGTATGTATACCTAGAACCTCATTGATCCCTGTGTTGGAGACCAAACATGGTCTTTTCATGTCAAGAAGCAGGTCAAACGGGGTCTATAGGTATATTATACAACATTATATAACATACTCTTACAAGTGCACAGCGCAGGTGCTGCTCCGGTTTCTTTTGTGAACCCCTGATAAGTGTGTATGTATATCTGGATATGTATTATATATATACACAAATATCTGCCCCTGATAAAAAGGAAAACCACAACCGCCAAAAGAAGCACTCCAACTAAGCATAGGGGGTGTCTAATCGAACAGCGAGACCCCCCTGGCCGGTAGGCTGGGTAGGCTGGTATAGTTTGGAGGTCTCCCTATGTTAATACACACCCATGCAAGTAATTATCAGTTCTTGATCGCTACCATAGACACTATAGTCTTCCACCGGCGTGGCTGGTTGATTTGCAACCAATCGGATCGAAAGGAATGGAATTTTGAAAGACTCTCATCGGATCGAAAACCGCTGTGTCCGATGTCGGCTCTGTTTTTTCTCCTCCCTTGCTTCTATTTCACTCAAGGGCACCACAACCATCAAGGATCAAGAGTTGCATCTCATAAAGTAGAGGAGAAAAAGGTTGAGAGAAGGAATGTCCTTGAGCCACTGTGTTCTCCGAGAACCGCTTCACACCCTCCCCCGCTGTCTAGCGCCACCGGCCGTCCCTTCTTCTCCCCCAGCGATCTACGTCTTTTTGGCTGTCCCAGGTGTCTGATTCCGCCCTGCGGAGCCCTGCGGAGCTGTGTGCAGGTGCAGGACGCGCCCACGGTGGGCGGATAAGTATGGAGAGTCAATTTCGCAAGAAACCCATGGTCTCAGGCTCAATGGTCGATGGACCGCACGCACCCACCTCCGGACGGACGGAGAGAGGTCGGGGCGTCAGCGTCAGTCGGCCGCTCCGAGGCGAGGATGGTGGAAAGCATCCATTAAAACCCATGCTTTCTAATAGCTTCTTGTTACTTCTAGTAAGGCACTTGTTACTAGTAGCGATGCACTTGTTACTAATAGCTTCTTGTTACTAGTAGTAAGGCCAGGAGCCGTTCGTAGCATCCTTTGCTCCTAGTAGCAATGCCACGAGCCCCTAGTAGCGTCCTTGCTGCTATAAAAAAAAACCATGCTTTCGGGTTCCTTGGAGCTCCAAAACCTTGCAGCTGAAGGATTCAGAGAAAGAAGCGCTCCTTCCGGGGGGCCACTTGGGATGTCGGGGGTGTTGGTACAACCCTGAAATCGTCAACCATTCCATCAGAAACGGATTGGACCAACGAATAGGCCCGAGCTGCCTCTAGATGTGGACCCTTATTTCTTAGGCCATGTCACCCTCTCTGTGCCCACCACGTACATCAGCAAAAACAGGAAGAAGCCCAACGGCCCTCCGTTCTCGTCCTGCTGGGTGTTTTCAACGGTTTCCTCCCGAATCTGGAGGCTTCGTTGGGACACCCCAAGTCGGACCAAGTCCGAGCAACCCTGGCGACTCTCCGTGGCAACCGCAAGAGAACCGTGGGAGGTCTCCACGGTCTCAACGCTACGACTGGTAGCGACTCTTCCGACCTCTTCAGCCACACTTCCGGCCCTTCACCAATTCAAGAGGTCAAGAGGTCCATCTAAAGACGACCAACTCTTCTTATCATGCCGATCCCTCCGCCCCTCCCCCCCCTCGAACAGGACATATCTCTTACAGGTTTTGTCCGTTCACCGAGCCTTGCGTTTTGGACGCAGCTGCCGGTAAAGGTCGGACGTAGCAAAACATACCAGGACCCTCCTGTTGGGGTGTCCTGGCTGAACTACCCCACACTACCCATAAGCTTCCAGACAGGGCACCCCGACAGGAGGGTCCTGGGTAATAATAGTAAAACAACCTGAAAGCACTGGGCCAGTCCCAAAGTACGAGAATTCGCTGGAAACCCAGTGCTTTTCAGGGACATTAGACGTATCAGCCAAACCTTGTTGTTGGTTCCCATCATTCTGAGCCATGCACAAGTCCGGTTGGGGAGTCTAAAAAGGATTTCTCGCTTGTGCTCCCTGGACGATTCAGAACGAGCGTGATGTTAGGGCACCCAACACCACTTCATCGAAACTGCCGCAGCGAACTGTTGAGACTCTGCGCGCTCAATCTTCCTCTGCATCACCTGGTCATGCATGGCACAAGGGGCTCGTGTTTGGTTCCCAGGACGTGAAAACGTGTTTGGGCAAATGAAGGACTCCAGCTTTCCCCAAGTGCTTCATTCATAGCACCTCTCATTTTTTAGGAGTTAGGAGAAGTATTGTCCACCTCCATGAAGGTACCAGGTGGGTTTGGAAGGACTACAACCCCAATCCAAAGTGATCCAAATGGGTGGTCACCATCTAAACTACACTGACCCAGCTGCATCACATGAAGGGTATGAAATGGCCTATTTTTGTCCAAAACGACTTGTTCTTTTGACGCCAGCTTGTGTTCATGAACAGAGCCACTGCAGCTGCTTTCTTTACGGAAAGCCCGACCATCTGACCAAGTATATATAGATACTTCACCTGCACTGCACATCCAGAGTTGATGAAAGTATTCGACCCGAAAGCAGCCTTTGGTTCCTTCAACCCCTTCCATCCCTTGACCTCCCAGACCACTCCTTCCGCGCAGAACCGCACCCGCACCCTTTCCGCGCAGCTTCCGATTGCGCCCGCCCGCCGCGGCGCGGCCATCGACCGCCTGTGGGAGGCACCCACAGCTCGAAGATCCGCCCGACCGCCACGCCCTCCGCGCAGATGGCGCCCGCGCGGGCGAACTCCTCCTGCGTCCGCGCGAAGCCTCGGTCGGTGTCAGGCGGCGGCGGTGGTGGGGTGTCGGTCGGGGGGGGGGAGAGAGCGAAAGCGCCGGAAACAAAGGAGAGGTGCGGCGATGGGAGGAAAGTGGAGATAGACTAGATGATACTACCAGGACCTTCCCAGTGACCCTTTGAGATCTCAGAATGAGGTCACTTAAGTCTGTAAAGGGTCACTATATGTATCATATCTCGAAACTTGGAACCAGTTGTTTCATGTCAGGGTGCTGACGTCGCGGTGGTGCCCCTGTCACATCACACGAGCGGTTGGATGGGACTTAAGGGTACCCCAAAGCAGGTGACCCAAACGGGTGACCCAAACGGACGTCCAGTGAGCTCTGCTCCTCTTGAGCTTCGTGACGGTAAGTTCCGTAGATCTCTCTTGGGGGACTGCGTGCCTTTTTGTCCGGAACCCAAGCAGAAACAAATGGTTCCATTTGGATCCAAACCGAGGGACCATGTGTACCGAAAATGAACGAATGTTTAATGTTTAATGGTTTGGAGGCGCCATGACTCATGGCGCCATATGGCAGTGGAGATTCTTTACATCGGAAGTGACGGTCTACAAAAAGGAAAAAGAGACGGTCGACAAGGGGAAAGAGAGCTGGTCTGTGGATCAAAACCCACCTTGACTTTCAACTTACATTGGTGTTCAAGCTATATGGACCAGGAGCTCCAGGTTTCGACGGTCGTCAAGGCATTTGAGATGGACATCATGAATCTGTTCTTGTTGACGGTGTGGGTTCACGAGTGGAGCCAAGAATGAGTGAAGGATTGCACGTGACGGTCACCTGTCAGTGGGACAAAGAGTCGAGATTTTTCAGCCAAGCCAATTTTGTTTTTTTGTGCAGGGCCTCCATATATTCTCTTGAAACAGAATGAATGGGTCACTTCCCCAAAAGTTGGTCAGTGATTCGCAGCCCCAACTTTGAGAGAAGGTGACCAACTTCCCACTTCGGGCTGGCTGTGGCGTCGTCTTCTCAGCCGGTCGTTCCAAGGTTGGCTTCGCTTGCTTCGTCTCCCGCGCACATCGATGACATGCGCGGTCCAGACCTGAACCTCGAAGACATTGGTCGTACTAAAAGACGATCGAAGACTGGTGAGCAGATATTGGCTACTAACTGGCTGAGTGGTTCAACACCCCAACCAACACCCCCAACCACAGTCCCGACATGGAACTCTTCGTGAAGTCAAACACTCTTCACTACCTCTACACATCTCTGGAGGTGGCAAAACTCACCATGTGTTGCTCGAAAAAAGAAAAGAATCGCTCGCCTGGCATAAAAAAGCAACAACGGTTTTTGTGGTATCCTTTTTCCAAATAGCCCAATCACTCCCCCTTCCCTGCACCCACGCTTCCGGTTGCACCCACTCCGCCCGGCGGCTGCTGGTGGAGATGCGACGTCCCAGGTTCAGCGGGCGGAAGGGGTCCTCGAGGGTCGCAACCCGCCGCCGCTTCCGGGACGTCGGGACGATCGGGTTGGTTTCGGAACCCGAAGGAGATCCGAAAAGAGACGATCAGGATGCATAGAAAAAGAGACTATATAATCGGGATGCATGGCATTTTCACAGGTTGGTCTTAGCCCAAGCAGAGAGGTATCATCCGGTAGACCCAAAGACCCAAAGTCCGGATCCTCTGGTCAATCTGTTGCATCGCCACCGAGTCCCCCAGGCTCGCGGGGCTTCAGGGGTTGGTGCTGTTTTAGTCCGAATCATCGTTGAACCGTTGCGGGGGACGGACAGCAAGAACCCCCCATCCATCATCTCATCGAAACGGAACACCTTCAGGGGCTTTGCGTTCGGGATGCAGAATCCCATCCATCATCTCCTACCTTTCCCCCCCATCGCGGCGCGAGCGACGAGGCGTCGCGCAGACGGAGGCGGATCGGCCGCCGGCTCTTTGGACCGATCTGGAGAACACCGATGTGAGGCACCTCATCATTTGTGGGGTCAGTGGTTTGTTTCATACCATTGGTTCGAGTTCCTTCTTGGTGTTCTCTTGAACACTAAGGTGACCTTTTCAGAGATAGAGGATTGATGGCCAAAGCGGGCTGAAGCTTCTTCGGTCGTCTTATTGGACGAATCTGGACTTCTCACCGAGGCAGTTGTTTTAGGTGTTCCTCACCAAGCCGACAGGCAGAAAGCCCGGATTTCAACGGCAAAGGATCGATCATGTTCAGCGGAATCGGCACCCCAAATAACCGATTCCGAATCAGTATCACTGCCAGGTTCTTCCCAGTGACCCTTTGAGATCTCAGAATGAGGTCACTTAAGTCTGCAAACGGTCACTTACCAATCCTGAAAAGGTCACTGGGAAGGTTCTGGTGGAGGACATTTACAGGGCATTCAACGTCATAGAAAAAAACGGTAATTCCTAGTGACCTCTAGTTTGGACCACCAACCACCCAACATATGGTCCAGTCCATCGAAAAACGACCGGTCCAACCGATAGATCGATCGGTCCGTCCTTCACCGGTCCAGCTCCGATGGTCTCCTCGCAACCATCGACCCTCCAGGATCCGTCAGGTGCCGGGTCCACCCGTGGTCCTGCAAGATGAGAGGGCTGGAGCTGTCCTGAGATCACCACGTGAAGTGCTTTCAACAAGGGTTCAAAAGATCGATCGCTGGGAATTGATCAGGCGTTCTGGCCCTCCGGCGATTCGTTCAGGGTGGTCGGAGCTGCTGACATGCGTCACATTCAAAGGGAAGCAAAGAAGTCCGTAAGCTCACTCCCGCATTGTCCACCCACCAAGTCCAAAGAGATGTTGGTGTCTCCCTCTTCAGAAGAGGGGGAAGACGCTCAAAAGACGGTGAAAAGCACCCAGCAAGCCGACTTGCCCGCCCCCCCGGATTGTGGTACTTTCCCTGTGTTTGTTGCAGCTCGACTCTACCCTTCGCGGGTTGCACGGGTCGGCCGGGTCTTCCGGTTCGCTCGTCGCCACAAAGCGCTGCGAGCAGAAAACTCATAGAGTCTTTCGATCGGACAAATCTCAGTGCTACCAGCTACCTCGGACAAATCTCAGTTCAAAAAATACAGCTGCTTTTGACCTGACTTGACCCTGATTTTGTTTCTTGAGCATCCCTGTTTTAGGAACTCTGGAAACCTTCCCATTCCTCAGTAGTTGATTGTCTTCAACGATGTTCGATATGACACTGCCAGACCACACCAGCTGCTGCCATCTTCACGGATTCTTTTGGTCCCATCTCCCTCTTCACCACTTTACCTCCAAAAAAAAGGACACATCTGAGTCCCACCTACCCCGTTCCCTGCTTGCTTTAAGCAATTCCATGTCTCCTCAAAGGTCGATTTGCCCGGCGAACCGCTGATGGGGTTGATCATCTCATTCCTGGCGGATCATTGTGGATCAGTGTCAGCCCTTCATCAGCCATGGTCAGTCTCTACACTCCCCTGTCAGAGACTCATCTGATGGCCACATGGATGGCCTTCAAGACTTGGATGACCATGGACTCGACTCTCAAAGACCAAACAACGTTGTCAGGTGGTGGTGATTGAACACCACCGCATCACCACCATGATTTCAGGGAGTGTCAGGCGCAAAAGAGAAAGGAGGCATCGCATCCACTGCGAAAAGGGATGGTCGCGTTCTGAAGGCCACTCCGTCTCTCTCTCTCTCTGCCACGACCCACAGTCGGGGGGGGTGGGCTATTAGTAGACACCCCAGTCCATGTCATCCAGTGTGACAACAAAAAGGAAGAGATGAAAAGATCGAATCTGAATGGCCCCAGGAATCTTCCACATCTGTGCAAGCGATATCTGGATTTTCCAATGTAGAAATAGGAAGGAAAAGCAACCAAACAAAGGATATGAGAGGGTACCCCTAAGTTTAGGAGACTGGCCCTATTCATGCCTATTTCAGCTATATTAATATTAACTTAAATGAGACCGGGCGATTCACTCAACTTGTAAAAGACAGCTCCTCCAGTCGAAGTCTTGGTAGAAGTGCATGAAATCCTTGAAGAGCTTGGAGGTGTGGACTGGTCGCACGAGAAGGGCGTGGACCCGCGTCCGAGCCGGTCATCATACCAAGCGATGAGCGATGAAGCTATGGAACCCTGTCCGCAACGTCTCAAATCCCCAACCCTTACTGACGCGTTTCTACGCACCTCCCCAGTGCCAAGTGTGGGTAATAAAACCCCTTGATCCAGTGAGGGATCTTGGCCTTTGCATGGTTCTTTTTCTCCAGATGGCAAAACGGTTCCCCGCCATCTGGTCCATCCACCAGTCGACTTCTTTTCAACGGCCCGACTGGGCCGTCGACTTTCCAACGGCCCGTTCGTCGGTTTGCCACTTCCACCCAGGCCATCCCCTTCACGGGGACGCCGGTCGAACGCCCATTGGATGAAGACCTCCTCGGGGCCCGCTCGCTCGGTGCGAGAAGCGGCGGTGCAAAAGCACTCGCGCTCGGCTCGGTGTCCGGGAAGCGACTTTGGGGGGTGACCTGTGTTTCACTTACGTCTGGAGACCCAGTCCCAACCAAGAAGTAGATGCTTGACAAACAACCACTTGTTATGTAAAGGAGCTCAGTCGTTTGGGCTTCCAGGTCTAGGAATAGGAAGGCGATGGGCCGCTGAAATCAGAGTCTTCAGTTGTTTGAGCTCATAATGCTCACTTCTGACCTCAGAAGTGAGGCTCCCAATGCCCCAACCCGAAAAAACTGATGAAAAAAAATACAAACAAACACCGATGCCCACCACACCTGGATTTGGCTCCGGTCGCGGGGCGTCATCCGGGGAAGAAGCACTCCCTTTGGACGAGAGCTGTTGAAAGGCCATGAAGGCGGTCAAAGGCGGGAGCACCTGGGTGGTGCCAACGGAGGTTGTCTTCGAACTCTGTACCCAGGACTATCCCAGTGACTATCCCATAGATGTACCCAGGTGATCGATCCTCTTGTTCTACGCATCCCCCTTCGGAGCGGAGCAGCGGAGCCCGAATTGGAACATCGACAAGGACTGCTCTGACTCAGTCAACCAGGCTGCTACTGCTACTGCTACTACTCCTACTCCTACGACTACGACTACGACTACTAGTACTAGTACTAGTACTACTAGTACTACTAGTACTACTACTACTACTACTACTACTACTACTACTACTACTACTACTA